AGCTTCGGATCGGCTCTGCTCTGACCGTTGTGGCTACTTGGGGAGTGAACCCGCAGACAGAAGATCTTTGTCTTTCCTTTTCTCTGTAAATCTGACTTTCCAATAAAAATAAATCTTAAAAAACAAAAAAGTAAGTGGGGCTGGGACTCAAACTCATGAACTCTAATGAGATGCTAGCATTGCAAGTGGTTGCTTAATGCACTGCCCCACAATACCCTTGATGGACTTTTGATGGTCTGGTTATATTCTCATTGGCAAATTTTATTTCCTTAAGCTGACATAGAAATACCTTAACTCTACCATTGCAGGTGTGCTTTAGTTTCAAGATTGCTTCTTTGGAGATCCAGAATAGTATTTGGAAGAAATTGTTTATCACTATTACTGCAGTAGATTGAGGACATATTTGAAAGGTAGGCAGGGCTACGTGTGGTGATGCTTTAATGTTCTCATACCAACAGGACTGGGTCTGTGCTCCCGTGTTTGGTTTAGCATTGGATGTGTGTCTAACTTAGGTATCTGTGACTATATGGATGTATGAACTCATGCCTTAGGAGGAAGGACTAATGCTTTTCAGAGCACAGCCCAATTACAACGACCTTGGCTGACTGATGATGTGGTGGCAAGAAAAGTGTTCATACATGGGTTTTTTACTAGGCTGTGGAAGGTTGGATCATGACTTGAAGCTTGCAGAGATTTTTATGGTCTGTCAGGAAGACAGCCAAGGGTCTATCTCCGAAAGGGACTCCTCATCAGCTTTTCAAGAAAATCTCCAGTTGTCAACTTCCCAAAGTTAGCTCTTTCACGAGTTGTCACGTTGACATGATTTACTCATTTCCTAATGCTGTTTCATTCATCTGTTTAATACCTCTCACTCGGAGTAGGACTCTCAAGAACAGGGAACCTAGCAAGGCAGGTTCATGGCCATGGTGAGGCATGTGGCTGAAGGAAAGTCCAAGGGCTGAAGCACAGTGCTGGGGGGTGGGGAGACCTTGGGAAATCGGGGGTTGTTTGGATGTATCTACCAGTGACAAAATGGAGAGGGATGGCAAAATCAGCCAGTTTCTACCAAGCACCTCCACCCTGTCTTTAAATAGATTGTGTTTATGGAATGTTATGTGTTAGGTGCCATTCTAAATGCTCTGTATGTATCATTTCATTAACACAACAACCCAGTAACATAAGTACAATAACTTTGCTCATTTCTCCAGTTAGGAAACTGAGGTGCAGGGAAATCCAATCTCTGTGACTTCAGACCAGACATTCTGACTCAGAGTCCTTAAGCATTATGCTCTCCTGCCTCCCAGACAAACTTTATGTGGTTGAAGGTGTCTGGGGAAAGGTGAAAAAAAAAAAAAATGAAAATGTATGCTTGGCAGAGCACAGGCCCTCTGTAGTGCCAGATTTCTTCTACCTCGTAAGCTGAAGTCTTGTAAATATGAAACATACAATGAAGCATCTTCCTTCTTCTAAGATATTTGGCCTAAGATATCTTGGACGACTATTATCATCCCAAACCTCAGTCTTTCAACCTAACCCTAAATTTGCTTGGTTTAGAATTAATTGAACCTCTAGTGGTGTTTTGTTGTTATCGTTGTTCTGAAGTCTTAGCCAAGAAATACTTTCTTCCTGGCCTTAGTACCTGCCTTAGTACCTAGTGAAGCGCTGAGCAGTTAGCTGGTGGCCTTTGATCCCATTGGAGAGCTCTAAATTGGTGACCTAGAGTTTTGAGTGAAACATGATATTAAAATAACACCAAGTTGAAATCACAATATACTATAGTGTAACATGCATGTTCAGCATCACCAAGAGTTGGAGAAAATGAATTTCACTTGGCTTCATTTGTTCTCAAGTGATTTTTCTCTCTTTTTTTTTTTTTAAAGATTTTATGTTTTTGTTATTTGAAAGGCAGATTTACAGAGATAGAAATCTTCCATCCATTGCTTTACTCCCCAAATGGCCACAATAGCTATGACTGGGTTAAGCCAAAACCAGGAACCAGGAGCTTCATCAGGTCTCCTGCATTAGTGAAGGCACCAAACACTCATGCTGTCTTCTGCTGCCTTCCCAGGCAATTGGCAGGGAGTTGGATCAAAAGTAGAACAGCTAAGACTAGAACCAGCACTCATTATGGGATGCCATTATCACAAGGGTGGTTTTACTTGCTATGCCACAATAATTTTTTTTTTCTTTTTAAGACTTAGGTTTATTGGAAAGGCAGTTATACAGAGAGAAGGAGAGACAGAGAGAAAGGTTATCCATCTGTCAGTTCACTCCCCAAGTGGCCACAATAACTGGAGTTGAGCTGATCCAAAGCCAGAAGCCAGGACATTCTTACAGATCTCCCACACAGCTGCAGGGTCCCAAGGCTTTGGGTAACCTCCACTGCTTTCCCAACCCACAGGCAGGGATCAAGATGGGAAGTGGAGCATCCTCCAGGACATGAACTGGTGTTCATTGGGATCTCAGCAGTTGTAAGGCAAGGATTTAGCCACAAGGCCATTGCACCATGCTCCACACTAATTCTTGAGTGGTTCTTTGCTTCTGTCTTTACCTCTCAGGGACACAACAAAACCTAACATCTCTGATTGCAGCTTGGCAATTTTACTTTGTTTTTTTTTTTAAAGAGTCAGAAATTCCTAATCTGCTTGTCACTCCCCAAATTCCTACAGCAAACAAGGCTACACTAGGCCTAAGCACGAGCCTGGAACTGCATCCAGGTCTCCACGGGGGTGGCAGGGACCAACTCCTGAGATGTCAGCTAGTGCTTCTCCAGTGTGCATTAGCAGGAAGCCATAATTGGAAGCAGGACCAGGACTCAGGCATCCCAGCTGGCATCTTAACTGCTACATCAGTGCCTTCCCCCTTCTGAAGAGTTTAGCTTTCAGAGCCTGATAAGCAGCCAAAGTGTCCTCAATGTTCAAAACCCAGTGGAAGATGCTGTGCACGAATGTCAATTTCTCAAACTTTAGATGCTCCTCTGATGTCACTTTCTCCCACTACTTTAGCTTGTAATTACCGAACTTGACTTTGAGGCCTGACCCTGGGTTTGCAGGTGTCTTGAGTTTTTAGTATCTTCTGACAGGTGGCCCGTGGGCCTTCCTTTACTGCCTTTTCAGCACTGATGCTAAGCACCTTCAGGAATGACACACAGTATTTCCATGTGTTTGTGGATTCATTGAGTAAGCCAGCTCAGGACTGGGGTGAGATTGAGAGCCTCCTTATATTCTTCACTCCCTGTAGGCAACTATTCAAACACCATGCAGGATCCTGGGGTACTAGAGGTCACAGAGCTGATAAAGACAGCTCCCCTAGTCTCAACAGGAACCATCGGTTGCTGTTGTTGTCCTCACCTTGCATCTGCCAGAATTCCATATGTGCGCCAGTTCGTATCCCAGCTGCTCCACTTCCCATCCAGCTCCCTGCTTGTGGCCTGGGAAGGAAGTCATGGCCAAAGCCTTGGGACCCTGACATGCCTAGGAGACCCATCATAAGCTTCTGGCTCCTGGCTTTCAATGTGTTCAGCTCCAGCCATTGCAGCAACTAGGGGAGTGAACCAGTGGACAAAAGATCTCTCTGTCTGTGCTTCTCTCTGTTTATCTGCCTTTCCAATAAAAATAAATAAATCTTTTTTAAAAAGTGTACATTAAAACATTATGCACATTTTGTCCATTCTCTGTAGTTGATGACTTACTTCATGACGCAAAATAGGGGGGAAAAGTCCCTAGGATGTATCACTTTTCTTAACATAACTGAGATATTTTGTTGAAAACATTATTCACATTATTCTGTAGTACACTCTCGGAATCAGCTGGGAGTATTTTCAGTGCTAAAATGGAAGCTGCTCTTTTTAATCTTAATAAAAATATGCATATATTTCAAAACTTTTGTGCTGATATAACCTTATCTTTTAATTAATTTTCTGCTAACTCTTTTTTGAAGAACTTAGCATGAATTCAGAGAGGGGCATTTCACCTAGCAACCAAGATGCCCTTGTCTCATATCCAAGTATTTGAGTTCAAGTTCTGACTCCACTTTGAATTCCAGCTTCCTGCTAATGTGCATCCTGGGTGGTGGCAGTGGTGTTTGAAGAAGCTGGGTTCCTGTCACCATCGTGGGAGACCGGGGTTGGATTTCTGACCTTTGATTCACCTTGTAAAAGAAAAAAAAGAAAAAAAAATGTCTCGGTCCTTAAGTGACCTGCCACTTTGCTGCTTTTGAAAGTAGTTTCCTAAGATTAAAATTATAGGCAGTAAGTTGTTGTGGATAGGGAAGGTAATTCCAACTTAATTTTTTTCTTTTTTTAAGATTTATTTATTTTTATTGGGAAGTCAGAGAGGAAGATCTTCCGTCCATTGATTCATTCCCTAAGTGGCCACAACGGCCTGAGCTGAGCCAATCTGAAGTCAGGAGCCTGGAGCCTCTTCCAGGTCTCCCACACGGGTGCGGGGTCCCAAGCCCTTGGGCCATCCTCGACTGCTTTTCCAGGCCACAAGCAAGGAGTTGGATGGGATTCAGGACTGCTGGGATTAGAACTGGGGACGATATGGGATGCTGGCACATGCAAGGTGAGGACTTTAGCTACCAGGTTACCGCACTAGGCCTTCCAACTTAGCTTTTTGTGTTTCACAAGTGTTCGGTCCATTGTATTGATGCTGAAGGGAGAAAATGGATGCTTGAGGTCATCTTTAGTGACTTTGATTCCTCACCCAACTCTGCAAACAGTTTGCTGCTTATTTTTCTCCCTGATTTTGGTCGGGCTTGATTTGTAAGGTGAAAGATGCCTGTTTGCTCCTTCCCAGCAGGTGGACACCATTCTTGCACCTCATTTAGGGTTTAGAAGGGGCCATTTGGGTAAAGGTGTTTATCGTGCTATGGCTTTCTATTGTGTTACGTACATTTCTTCTGTTTTTCAATTGGCAAATATTTTAGGATGCAGATAATTTGGAAGCAAGTTTTTGTTATGTTTTAAATATTCTTTCTTAATTTCTTCTTAATTACAGAGCAAAGAGATTGCATTCCAGCTTCATGAGGATTTAATGAAGGTTCTTAATGAGCTTTACACGGTAAGCACATAATCTCTTCTTTTGCAAGAACTCTAGGTTTAGATTTCTGGTTTGTAAAGACAAGGCTCATTTTAGAATTTGTCTCAAGCTATAGTGGTGATGGATTCTCAGCTCGTCTGGTTGAAATGTACCAAGGGAAGCAGTGTGTATGCAGCGATGTATTTTTTTCTTTCTTTGCTATTCCCTCTCAACTTAGAAATATTGTATTCAAGTAAATACATATTATATATAAATATGTATGTGCAGGTGCACATCTGTATGTGTATGAGTGTGTGTGTATGATTATGGATATAAATGCATGCAGTTGGCATACATTAAGAAACCAGAGTATATGTGGGATAGTAAGACCTGCTTTTAATTTGTTGGATTACATGACCTCTGTATATAAGTATATTCAATTCCAGAATACTTCCCTTTAAATTATTGGCTCTCTGGGACTTGAGCAAATTAGAGTTGTTGTCTTATTCTAATATTTTAATTACCTTAGCTTTCCCTCTATAGTTTGTATTTAAGATGTATTTATTTGTATTGCAAGTCGAAACAATGGAGAAATAGAGATCATCTGATCTCCGATTCTCTCCCCAAGATGATAATATCCACCAATGCTGGGCCAGACTTCATTCTGATCAAGCCACATACCCATGTGGGTAGGAGCCCAAACCCTGGCGTTACCTTCACTGCCTTCCCAGGTTGCCAACAGGAGGCTGGATCAGAAGTGGAGCAGCCAGTTTGTGAACTGGCACCCATATGGGGTGCTGATGATGCAGGAAACAGCCTAACCCATTACATCACATTCCTGGCCCTATTTTTTAATCCATTTCAATTGTTAATATTATTAAAATCACTTGGGAGGGTATCTATTTTCCTTTCCTATAATAGTTTGCATTGGTTGGCTTCCTGTTTAAATTGCATATAATCTTAAGAAATTAAAGAATTTGAAAGTAGTTAGCTGCATAAAAAGCTATAGTCAGTTATGTTGGAACTTGGAAAATTAGGGATATGCTCATGTAAACTTTTTACACTTAGTGATCATATTAATAAATACCAATTCCTTGGGCAGGCAGTTGGTGCTGTTGTTGAGTGGCCATTCAGGGTAGCTTGATCCACTGCTGTAGTGCCTGCATGTGAGTCCTGCTCCAGCTTGCTACTAGCGCGGATTCTGGGGAGCACCAGTGATGGTTTCTGTGTCCAGGCCCATGCTGTGTGTGCGGGACACTCACGTTGAGTTCTGCGCTCCCAGCCCACCCTCAGGTACTGAGGATTAAGTGGATGCTACCTCTGTTTTTCAAATTCAATGAAAATCAACAAGCACATTTTTAAAACAATATTAGTTCTTTTTGAAGATGTTTGAGGAGCTTTGTTTTAAAATAAGCGTAAAGAGAGGTAAGTAAAACTGGTACCTAAAAATAGATATTGGCATTTTCATTGTAGTGGGTTATTTGATGTTTTCTTTACAGATAAGTTAAACCTGGAACTCACTAGGTTTATGTCTTGATTTACAGTTTTAATTTGTTCCAAAAAAGCTGATATGTGTTAGTGGCCATTCAGGTACTTGATCCACTGCCTGTATGCCTGCATGTGAGTCCTGCTCCAGCTTGCTACTAAGCGCGGATTCTGGGAGCACCAGTGATGTTTTTCTGGGTCCAGGGCCCATCTGTGTGTGCGGGACACTCACGTTGAGTTTCTGCGCTCCCAGCCCACACCCTCAGGTACTGAGGATTAAGTGGATGCTAACCTCTGTTTTTTCAAATTCACTGAAAGCCAATACAAGCACAATTTTAAAACAATATTATTGCTTCTTGAAGATGTTTGTGGCTAAATGGGCACAACTGGAAACTATAATGCTAAGGGAAATGAGTGAATCCCAAAAGATTAGATACCACATGTTCGCCTTGATTTAACCTGTAATTTATTGTTTGGTTGTTTGTTATTTTTTGAACATGTCATTGATGCTGTCTCAACCCAGATGTTTCGAAGAATGGAACTTGCATTATTTTTAACATATTGTTTACCCAATACTATGTCAATTAATTCCATAATGTTGTATATTGAAACTGAGGCCTTGTTGGGGCTTTTAACCGACCGGATCTTTACTCTATTAGACCTATCTTCAGACCATAGAAGGTCTCCCCAAGAGGCCACTGAACTTATCTGGACAATAAGACGCTGAACTTTATGCTAGGCATGTGTTTGCAAGCAATGAATCTCAACTGAACTTGAACTATGGTTATGCAGCAAGGTGGAGGAATCCACCATGGGGGGAGGGGTATGGGGAGGGGTGGGGGGAATCCCCAGCGCCTATAAAACTGTACTACACAATACAGTGTAAGCAACAATAAAAAAAAAAAAAAAATTGTTATGTTCTGTTAACGCTTGCTGAAGGAACCTGTAAATTAAGGTTTTATAAAAGGAATGATATTTTTATGTTTAAGAGTTTCCCTTTTTTGGGTATGAATATGATGAACTTGTATTGCTGTGTGGCTCATTTGCTGCATCTGTGCTGAGTTGATGATTTCTATGTGTTTGTTACCCCTTCCAAAATATTTACTCTTGCATAAAACTTGCAAAAACCCCACGCTCTCAGGTTATCTTGCAACCACAAATACCTGATGAAGCTGAGCTCCAGATGGTGAAGGCCACTTTCCCGCCCATGCTGTATGTGATGTGTTAATATCCAATAATCTGAAACGTCATCGGCCATTCTTAGAAGTGCTGTAACTCACCAATAAATGGATGTTGTGCTTCTGAGGCTTCCAGGGAACCAGCAGGAGCTCTGGGTTGCATTTGGTTGACCTAGCCTATGATAAATAGATTGTGGCACTTTTCTTGTAGTTCCCTTGACACTATTTAAGTTAAAGAAATTAGAAATCAATCTGTAATACCTTAAAAAATCAGGCCGAGATTTGTCACAACATCATGGATAAGAGTCTGTTTTTACAGTACAGAACTGGCATTAGCCAAAGCAACAAAATGGCAGGGATAAAGTTGCGCATATTTGGCTCAGTGAGGGATATATATGGTGAAATTTCTCTGAGACCCAGCCTAGCAATTGGACATGTAGAGTTGAATCAAGTAAGCTGACACCTCCTCAAAATTTACAAGTATTTGTTTTGCACCTCCAAGATATGCATGTTCCAAAAACCGCTCCTGGAGTTGGAGTGACATTGTCAGTCATTTAACCTCTCAGCATCAGCTAAGATTAAGGTCTAGGAGACAGATAATTTTTCCTTTAGGCAAATGTTCCCTTAAGGCCATATGTCACAGCCATGCTCCACAAGGAGAGAACTCCACATCAGTCTGTCTTCCCCAACCCTTACCCCTAACCCCTGCAACACAATTGTATTCTGGTCCCAGTCGTCCCCTCTCCCTCCGGCCTTTGTCTAAAAGAAGAAACTGTTCGGCCTTATTTGTACTTAATGTTCAACTTCTGTATTGCTTTAAGAAATCTATCCACTACACTTAGGTAAGAGTGAAGGTGAGGTGTGTTTGAATAGTGGGGCAGGAGTTGGAGAAATGTGGTTTACAGTTCCTTACTCAACCACCAACTAGTATTTTGGAGCAAATAATTACATGTTACAGTGTGTATAGAATGGTGTACAAGTGGCGATATAATAATGACTCCTGAAGTAGCAAGAATAAAGTATGTTAATTGCCTGAGATGTACAGTCACTTTCTGTCAACCCTTGAAACTCCTTGGGAGTTTGAGAAATGAATTACCTTCCTTGTACTGGGAGAGTGCTTTATGTCAAATCACAGTCAGCCTTAGGGGTGTGTGACTGCCTTAGTCAAGACTGTGGCTTCTACAGCAACTTGTGAGTACTCCAAAAATTCTACCAGAAAGCCTTGTCTGAAATCAAGCAGCAAGGAGAATAGAAGGAGATACCTGTATTGATTTTATACCATAAAATAAACTAAGTTTCCTCATTCCAAGATGTGTGGATGATGGGGCGGATATGCCAACCATCTGGTGATACGATGCTGTGTGGGTTGTGTCAGTGGCTTTGGAACTCTGAGTAGGAGATGCTGGTGGCAGCAGTGGGGTGTTTGAAAGGCAGGGGAGAACCTTGAAGACACGTAGCTCCTCTCCTGAGTTGTTACCCAATCTTACCTTCATTTACAGAAGAAGAAAAAAAGTCTCAGAATGGTGTCAGACCTCTAAAATCACACCTCTGTAGGGCAGAGTCAAAGCAGTTTTGTTTTGTCTTGAGTACTAGAAATACTCAAAATAATAGTGTAAACAAAATAGATATTGATGTTCTCTCTTACACGAAAGGAATCCAAAGACCGACAGCCCATGTGGAGGCTACTAAAAAATTGGTGTGAGTTTTATGTAACAAAAATAGCTGTACTGATAGTCCACAAACTTGGATTTGAGTCCCAGCTGCCCACTTGGGCAGCACTGAGGAGCCATTTAGCCCCTTGGGACATCTATGTTCATCTGGGGCTCCACTGAGAAACAAAACCAGTAGATACGTATGCAGGGGGTTCATGCAGTATGGACAGTGAGAAGTCCCAAGATCAGTACAGGCAGCGAGCCTGTGACCAGCAGAGCTGATAGTGGAAGTTCCAGGCCAGGTGTGTTTGACATCCCAGCCTGAACACTTGCACACAAGGAGGGTGAATCCAGTCCTATCCAGTTGTTTATTCTAGGCAGGCTGTGGATGATGGGCCTTGGGGAGGGCAATCTGTTGTACTGATTCAGACACTCATCTCATCCTGAACAAACCCCAGAGGCGCGCTTAGAATATTCAGCTAAATATCAGGACATCCTGTGGCCCAATCAAATGGACTCACAGGAATTACCATCATAGCATCTGACAAGGCATCCAAGCATAGTGAAGAAGTCAGTACTATGTTACAGACCTAGTCCTTTGTGGCTGTGTCCCTGTGCCTTGGTTTTCTCATCGTATAATATGGAGATCATGATAATACCTTGTTCTCAGAGATCATACAAGAAGTAAGTGGTACGAAGACTGGCATATCATCCAACAAATAATTTT